ACAGCCATGTAAAGGCACCTTAAGGTTTTCGGTTGCATGCGAGAAAATGGCGGCGGTCGTATGTATGTGACGTTGATGTGTGACGTGTTATTTGTATGAGTACCATTGATCTCTAAAGGCTATCGCACACAAATTGACATAACTGCATATGCATAGCATAAGACCGTATGTACCAATGAGCATCGAGTATTAAGTCGCCATATTGGTGTTCGATGCTTAATATTCGATGCTCATTGGTCCATCTTATGATATGCATATGCATGGCATAGCCCTTAGGGCTATCGCACACAAATTGACATAACTGCATATGCATAGCATAAGATCGTATCGACCAATGAGCATCGAATATTAAGCATCGAACACCAATATGGCGACTTAATACTCGATGCTCATTGGTACATACGGTCTTATGCTATGCATATGCAGTTATGTCAATTTGTGTGCGATAGCCTTTAGAGATCAATGGTACTCATACAAATAACACGTCACACATCAACGTCACATACATACGACCGCCGCCATTTTCTCGCATGCAACCGAAAACCTTAAGGTGCCTTTACATGGCTGTGTTCAAAAACTTTACTCGACTGGTAGAGTACATTTAATTGTCCAATCATGATAAAGAAATCCTAGTTATCTTTGCTTTTATTGATCAATTAAATGCTACTTTACCCGTCGAGTAGAGTTTTGGAACGCAGCCCAGAGGAGCATCGAGCGTCGAACGTTAAAGCAGTAGCCAATTAACGTGCCACTTTCCGCAAGAACTACAAGTATACTTCTGGGACCTGATACGTTGATTGGCTAACGATTTAACGTTCGACGCTTGGACGTTCCTATTTAAAGGTACCTTTCGCGATGCATGTTCGAAGCCCTTGTTAACAACCTAGTTTAGTATCTGTGAGTACCGCTGAGAGCTGCGCTATCCATAGTTGCTTTCCAACAAGAGACACAAGTCGACACAAGTATCATCCTGTCTTTATTACTCACTAAATGTAGAATAAAGATAGGATGATGTTTGTGGGTGCTTTCTAATTGCTTAACACATCTTGAGACACACGTACACAAAACCAGTTTATTGGTCACATATTATCTAAAATCTTGTAAAATAATATGCAACCAATAAACTGGTTTTGTGTAACACAGAGTACGCAACTGGAAAGCACCCTGTGTCGACTTGTGTCTCTTGTTGGAAAGCAACCCATATTTAGTATTACATATATAAGGTTAGTGTACAACGGACATTAGGTGTAAAAGTGTCAAAAGTGCAAGTAATACGAGCAGACTTCGTACCGACTAATTGCAAAGGACTTTATAGAAGCACTGACCAATCGCGTAGCTCGAGTTAGACGCTAGCATGAGGGAAGCGGTACATATCCCTCTGTCCTTTCCGTAAACAGTGCGAAGCAGTCAGCGACTTTCTCTCGTTCAGTGCGTACGTTTGTGTCAAGAAGATCGGTCGAAGGAGCTTGTGAAAGGCGTTGCTCAGTAAATAGCGTGGATAATCAGGTACGTTGTTCTTGTTATCGTTATCGTTATCGTGCGAGACGCGAATATAGTTGAAAATGTATAGGTTTTATACATATCTCGGCTGCGAAATATTCGTGAATCGCCAGCGCAATCGCAACGAAGTCGTCATTTTTCCGATCATCTCCTTAGCTTCTCAAGCACCTCGGAAAAGTGCATTCGGCTCGCGCGGCCATTTTGTTTATTGTGTTCACTTTTGGAGGGAAACCGACGTTAAATATACGTATCGTGACGATTCCTCTGTCGTGCACGTGATTAAACAGCGCAATTTCGAGCGCCGTGTCTCGCGAAGAAATGTCGAAATGCCGTTTCCATAGTTAGAAAGGAGAAAATCGTCCTTCGCCTATCTTTGGATGTGCTTATTGTTCATCCCCTTTACCCTCCTCCCCTCGTGCACCTAGTGTACTCGCACGCAAGGTAATTTCCGCTGTCTACAAACTCGACGTATACTTTCAGTGATGGCACGTACAAAGCAAACGGCTCGTAAGTCGACGGGTGGAAAGGCACCCAGGAAGCAGCTCGCCACGAAGGCGGCGCGTAAGAGTGCGCCGTCAACTGGAGGCGTCAAGAAACCGCATCGTTACAGGTATGAACTAAAAAAAATTATAAAGAATACTTTGCATGTTTGTCCTTAATAATGACTGACTGTCTTATCTCAAAAACAATGTAAAATATTTAAAAAAATAACGCAATGAGTTTTAAAATGTAATCACTGATTTTAAATAAAATATTGTACTTTTGAAAAATTAAGAGTTGACACAATTAAAAATTCCAGAAAGTAATTTTTAGGAAATGATGCAATAAATTTTAAAACTTAATTACTAACTGTGAAGTTCCAGAAAATTCTACACAATTTTGATAGAAAATGAATTTCAAAATAATTTATTAATTTAAATCAAGTTATTGTACTTTTAAAAATGAAATATTGTACTTACAAAAATTAGAAAACAAATGATTGAACCAATTAAATATTCTAGAAAATCTATAAGAAAAGACACAAAGAATATTAAAACAATTACTAATTCAAATTGAAGTATTGTACTTATAAAAAATTAGTAAAAAGGAAAATGGTTGAAGCTATTAAAAGTTCTAGAAAGTAATTCAATAAATAAATACGAGCATGATGAATCATATTTTTATATGTATAGAATTTTACGCAATCTAAAAAAAATTGCTCGAATAAAGAAACGTGTTAACATTGGCTATAAGTTTTACATAAATCTTGTATGCTTTCAGACCTGGTACTGTAGCTCTCAGAGAAATTCGAAGATATCAGAAATCTACGGAGTTGCTGATCAGAAAATTGCCGTTCCAGCGTTTGGTTCGTGAAATTGCTCAGGACTTCAAAACTGATCTGCGTTTCCAAAGCGCGGCTATTGGCGCTCTGCAGGAAGCATCAGAAGCATACCTTGTCGGTCTTTTCGAAGACACTAATCTGTGCGCCATTCATGCCAAGCGTGTTACCATCATGCCAAAAGATATCCAGTTAGCACGACGAATTCGTGGCGAACGCGCTTAAATTCACTCACGATCACACAGATCTCTTTCCAATTCATTTTACTCTCATTTGGACATTATACGTGTTTTCGAACGAGCTACAAATATTATTCTTGACCTTCTTCCGTGTATATTTACTATAGTTAACACACTGCCAATCACACTAAATCACATAATAAAGATATTGAGAGAGGAATAGAAATATAATATGTTCCTGTCTCTCTTTATATTAGATTTCATAATTCGACGAAACATAATCGCAATTCGTACAATGATACAAAAAAAAATATATATATAAAAAGACAAAAGAAAAATATATGTTATATGTAACGTACTCGCAAGAAAGAAAAATCATTGCAGAACCAGTAATTAGTTTTGTATACTTGGATACATAGACAAAAGAATGAAACACGAGCAATACCACAAGTACATAGATTGCATGTATTTTTTTCATAGAAAACAAATCCGAAAACTAGCGCTTTTATTTTAGAATATTAGTCGACACTTGCAATCTTGCTTCATGATAGTACACAGATTGTACTCGTATATAATTCTTTACGTACAAATGAAACCTACTTATCACATATATATATATATATATATATATATATATATATATATATAAATTTTCATAAAACTTAGAGTATTAAGGGACTGGATACCGTCTATGTAATGCCGGAAACGCTGTAGAAGAAATAGTTTCTTAGTTGTTTATCAATGCACCATAACTACATAACGTTTTTTTTCCTCTGACTTACATTTAATTTGGAACTATTCTAGAGTCTCAAAAACTTTTCCAGAAAGATGGTATAATATTATAATATACAATTTCTCACATGTATCCTATCGAAAATTCGGCATGTAGAAAAGCTGCTGCTGTAAAATTATCTTTCTTTTCTCTTGAAAATTACTTCGCAGAATTACTTGTTTCTTCGAAAGAGACTGTGTACTAAAAACGATAGCACAGCAAAAATTTACTTTTAATGTGCATAATTTATATTAATTTTTGTTATTTATTTTATATAAATTTAAATGTTATTTAGTGCAAAGCGATACCTCGAACCATATTTGGCACTTAGCAGCCTTTCTCATGTCGAGTTCGCTATTATGCTAGGTTACGTAATTATCTTAATTCTCTTAAATCGGATTATAGTAGTAGCTATTGATAATTGTAACCACAGCACAATGAAATACATTTTCTAATTGATGTAACGTACCTCGAGGAATTTGTTTAATTTGACACAATATGCCTGATATTCCTTGCATCTAATTGTTGCGGAATTATTATACTATATATAATAGCATATATTAGTGTGCAGAACGGTTTGATATGTTAGATTTCAATGGTGTGGTAAAACACTTGACCTGGCTTCCAGTTTAATTCTTTATAAATATGTTTCTGCGACATTTCGAGAATATTCCAGGGGGAATTGTCTCAGGTTGTTCCTCTACCTAAAGAAATTTGGAATATTTAGAAAACGTTAATTTTATAGTTATTGATTGTTAGATCAAAAAGAAAGTGTTCGGAATATTTTAGAGGTGTGCTTAATTGATTGCAAATGTTATTTTGTGGATATATCTTTTTACCTCAACGTATTTCGTAAGAATTTTTAGCATGTTTTCTTGCTTCTGACGTCATTAAAAAGAAATTGACGATGCAAGTATCCAAGAGCCTTAAAACTTTGAATATCCGTACTTAAGGCTCCTGACCCCTCGCATTCTCTATCTCTTTTTAATTATTTCAAAAACGAGAAAATTCTTGCGAAATACGTTGAAATAAAAATATATATCCTTAAAGTAACACTTGTAATCAATTAAATTTGTAAAATATTCTGTGCACTTCCTTTTTACTCTAACAATCAAATTACAATAATTTATTGTAAATTAACCTGAATAAGTAAATTAAGAAGATGAATTGTATGTTAATTTACAATAAATTATTGATTATTAAAACAAAAGAGAAATGCACGTAATATTTCACAGATTTATTTAATCGATTGCAAGTATTACTTTATAGATAAATCTTTTTATTTCAACATGTTTCGCAAAAATTTTTAGCGTGTATTTTTTCGCTTCTGACATCATTAAAAAGATAGACAAAGGACCAGGAACCATTAAAGATAAGAATGACCAGGTTTAAATACGTCTATGAATACGTCTATGAATTGATATTTTTCTTTTAACTTTCATTGGAAATTTGATGCGTCGAAGAAGTATTTAAATCGTTCTGCAAACGGAATGTATCACACATCCAGTTTATTCTCTTATATTTTTTATCAAGCTTGGGTAAGTTAAAAATTATACAGAAACTTAATTAAAAGTTAAGCTAAAATTAAATTAACTTATTAAAGTTAAAAATTACTTATATGCTTCTTGCATAATTAATTTTTTAATCATAGGTTAATTTATATGAGATGAAGATAGTTTTTTATATACTTTAAGAATATATCTTAAGAAAATACCGAAATATTGTTTTGAGTTCAGAATTCTACATAAAAAAAAAACACTAGTGCTCAGAGAGACAACAAATATTGCTGATAATATTCTTGGTTTTTCTTGTTTTATATTGTATATATTTTCTTATTTTATAAATAGCCCCGGCAGTTTTTAATATTTTGATGAATTATTTCAACTTATATAAGTTAATAAATTGAAGTTAATGCGCCTTAAAATATCTAGTTTAAATTAAAAGCTGATTTTTTAACATTAACTGAGTTAAATTAAAGGTTATTAAGCTTAATTAACTTTTAACTGAGATTGGCTAGTTATTTCCCAACTGATATCTATATTTCATTTCATTGTTCTCAGCTCTAAAGCGACGCGGTGTGTATGTGTGTACAATAGCCCGCGCCTGTGCAATGCGCAGATGCATTCGCACGGAACTGCACGACGCTATCGATTCGCTGCCTGTAGCGCGAGAGTGGTTGTGTGCGTGTGTGCGGCGCTCTATATGCATTGCGCCGCACGCTGCATGGCACACATCGGCCGTCGCGGCGCGCGCAAAAATTTAGCGCAACCGCAGGAGCGTGTGTGTGCGTGCATAAATATGCACGTACGCTTGCTCCCCCGCTCGCTCGTCGCGCGTGTGTGTAGTCGCTACTCAGAGTGCTATACAGCGCTGGCAGCTGGCTACACACAAACCTGACTGAACATGGATCTGTCACGAAATCGCAGATCGATATTCCCGACGCTATAGAGCGAAACGGCCAGTCCGGCTGTATGTCGGACCGCTATTGTCGCGCGGTAGCCTTTCTCCCTGCGTAAACAGTAGCGTCGCGTTGCGACGCATCGGCGATTCTTGAAACGCGACTAGACTCTACAATCTCTCTCAATCGAGATTAGTCTACGAATGACGAGGTAATCAGCGGCCCGGGACCAAGTGCAGCACGGTGCGGAACGCGTGCGTTAACCGAATCGTAAGTGTCCACGGCTGAGTACAGAAGATATAGTTGTTATCGCGTTTATTATCGCCCCACAGGTCGTGCCGCATGGAACTATTTCGCGCGGATCCCGCGAACACGCGCGCGCGCGTGCGGTCGCTCGACTCAACCAGAGAACGCTCGAGGAGTCGACCATCGTTACTTCCGACGCGTCCGCTTCTCCCACGATAACGAAAACAATAGTGATCTGATAACCACGGATGATTACATAGAATGCGATGAATTCCCTCACGTTTCTTTGTATTGTCTCGAATTTCTAACGGACGGATACTCGGCAGCGTGTACGCATGCCAGGGCCAAATGTGTTGTTTATGATAGATTTACTTGGTCCAACACAAAGCCCGAGGGTAGCAGCAGCCATATCGTATTCCGTGTATTCGACGCTTTCCTGATTCTAGGCTCGAGACGGGATTCCCGTAACACGACGAATCGAATTCGTCATTAGACGACCGTGTCTGGCGTGCAACACGAATAAATAAGAATGGCAATCTGCTTCATTAGCGTCTCTCTCCCCTCCTCTTTTTTTCTCTCTGCCTCCTTCTCTTCTTCATAATTATAGTTATATGTGTACGATAACATGACGCATAGAAGCATAACGTAAAACCTGTATCAGACTAGGAGATTGAGGATTCGGATTAAAAATTAGATTCTTTCGGTCCTTGTTCGCATCGTTCTAATTGATCAAGTCTTGATCTTCAATCCGCAACCCTCAATCCCCAATCCATGGTCTGATGCAGGTATTAGATGTCGGGCGGAAGAATCCGCGAGAGCGTTTGTTTTGTATCCGGTTTATATGGATGTGTGCGCATCTTTCCCTGCGAGATGTACAAGCCGCGGCCGTGTGCAGTATTTACCGAGCTCGTCGGAATCTCTCTCCCTCTTTCTTTGTCTCTCCCTCTCTGTCTGTCTCCCGTCGCGGTGTCGATCGATCCATCGGGTGCTCGCCGCCCCCGTTGACAATTCTCGTCGGCGGCGGCCGATTATCCGCGTTCCGCGCCGATCCGAGGCAACAGCGAGGCTCGTGGAGCCGCGGGGGTGGGAGAGGGGCACGTGCTCGGGAGAGCGTATCGTAGTACGATTTAGTGCGATTGACAGGGCACTCTCGTCGCACTCGATGCACCGGCGACCAATGCGGCGCGCCGGCCGGCCGACGGCCTGTCGCCGGATTGGCCGGCGGCGCACCGCGGGCTCTACGTGCTCTCGTGCGATTTAATTTCCAGACGCGGGGGGGAGAGAGAGAGTCGTGACTCGCTCGGGAGAGCGTAGCGTCCACTGCCATCGGAGTGTGCGAGCAAACGGATAGTGGTGTAGCCTAGCTCTCGCGTACGTTGTGTTTGATTGTCGTCCGAGGTGGGTATAATATCGCGTCAGCGAGATCGCGGGAAAACGGCGTGTGAGACGCGACGAGATTCGTGTGAGAACGGCCACGGGGTCGCGTGTAGTCGAGTGAACAAGAGGGAGAGTCGCCGCGCAACGGACTGGCGTTTTCTCCACGCGCCCGTCTCGCGAATCGCCACCATTTTGCGACGTTTCGTGCAGGGAACGCGCAGAGGCGGCAACGCGCACCACGGACGCGTCTTTTTCTCCGCGCGTGTGACTATTTCTGCTCGCCGCGTACTCGTGAGTGTGATCCCGACAACGACGGAGGCTCCGCCGTAGGGTCGTCGAGGCTCTCCGCGGACACGAATTCTTCGGCTGACAGCGCGCGTTTTTTCTCTCTTTCTCTCTCTGTCTCTCCTTCGTCGACGCGGAGGGAACGAAAGTTCGTACATTGCGCAACGCGCGGCGTTCTTCGGTGCGCGGCTCCTCCGCGCGAACAGCAACGGATCGCTCTCCCACTTCGCGGCGTATCGTTACCACCACTATATGCCATCGTAGCCACCACCATCGTACCGTCGTGTCACTTTCCCACTATTCCGCCGAGCTTAGCTTCTTGCTCTAGTTGTAGTTGCATCGCGCGGCTCCCGTTCGTGCTCGACTCTCTTTGTGAGGATCGTCGACGGAGGGTTCAGAGTCGCGAGCAACGGTTGGGGACTTTTACGTAGTCGATAACAAATGAGCAGCTGAGAAGCTATTCAACTCCGCGACCCCGCGACACCCATTATATCTGATGATGTTAGGGAAATCACCTCATTGATCGTTATTATTGTCAGTATTTCAGATTGAGTCATGGCACGTACCAAGCAGACAGCCCGTAAGTCGACGGGAGGAAAAGCTCCCCGTAAGCAGCTCGCGACGAAAGCGGCCCGTAAAAGCGCCCCGTCTACCGGTGGCGTCAAGAAGCCTCATCGTTATAGGTATACGAAGCGCTACATTCGCACGGTTGACTGCTTAACTCTTTGTGCCACGAATTTTTGTAGCAAACCTATTCTTCTGAAACTTTGTATTCAGGAATTTTTAAATCGCTAATTACGAATCAAAAGTCAGAATTTTATAATTTATACTTGGTCCCCCCACTATTCTAGATTTTAGAAAATTTAAAAATTCTAACAGATTAGAATTTAGTGGTCCAAAAAATCCTCAGGACATTATTATAAGAGATATTCAAACTATTTATTTACAGCAATAAATATTTATTTTTCCATATTTCTCAATGATTATTCAAAGATTATTAAAAGACTATTCAAGATAATAAAAAAAAAACTTATTCTAGATAAGTGCCTAAATTTCAATATTGATAGTAATTTAATGAAAAATGAATTTTTTAATAAAAAGTACAAGTTTGACCTATTTGTTTATAGCAATTATACAAATATAGAAATTTACAGTTGCCTAGTTTTTTTTACACATTATTGATATATTAGAGACTACAAAAATAAAAAATTGGTATTTAACGTCGAGAAATTTGTTAAAATATTTTTCAGATTATAATAAAAAGAACAATGTTATTCGAATAACGTTTGTAAATATAGAAATTTACGGTTGGCTACTTTTTTACACTTATTCATGTACTATGGACTCTACAGAAATAAAAAAACCGGTATTTAATGTCGAGAAAATTGTTAAAATAATGAAAAACCGAATGAAAAAAAAGTGGGTCGCTGAACGACTCATTATGCCACAAAGAGTTAAAGGCTGCAACATTTTCCGCGAGAAGTCTCCTAACACATTCCATATTCAAGGGGAATTTGTTCTTTAATTTTAGAAGATATAGAATTTGTGTTTTTAGAAAAATAGGATTTTGCTATTGAATGTGGAATGCATTACAAAACTAATCAAGAAATTTTTAACTTTTGATTAGCCGAGTATAGCAGTCGTTTGGATAAAGTTTGCAACACTTTCTTTAGCAGAGTTTTTACAATACAATAATATTTATCCACTTTTGCTTGTAAATTACTTTTGTACATTTCGTATTTGAAAAAACTTGATACTCCTTAAACTTTAAACTCATACGGAAGTGCGTACACAATCTCGTTAATTCACGTGTTCAAAAACTTGGCCAAAAATAAGTATCGCAAAAATTATTATACATTGGGTTTTAAATATTTAAGTTTAAACATTTTTTTCTCTCAGTGCGTTTTGAAACGTAACCGATGATCCAATGAGAGAACTTGTTTTTTTATTAATTCCTAGAAATTAAAATTTTTGGAACTGTGTTCTCTTGATATTCAATGTTAGCACTAAAGAAAATCTATTGTTTATTTTACGTATACTATAGATTTTCAGTACTGGCAGTGAATATCGGGACGCAGCTCGGGTACTCGCTGCGGCCATATTGGATTATGACGTAGAGAGACGACACGCTGAAAATTTTGGCGCGTTATTTTCGAATAAAAAAATATTTATATTATGGAATACTTGAGATCATTTAAACATACTTGTAAAATGTTCTAAAAGCTATCTTTTTTCTTGATACTCAATAAATAGCCGTAAAATAAACGCGGCAAAATCGTGAAGAAAGGCAGGTTAAAAAAGATTGTTACAGGTCATGTTAATTTTATAGTTCTTTATTGTCAAGGGAAAAGAATAGTTTTTGGAGCATTTTACAAGCATTCTCAAGCAATTAGAAATGTTCTTTCATACAAATATTTTTTGATTTGGAAATGGACACAAGAATTTTGGACATGTGTCTCGTTTTCTTTTTTCACTTCTGATGTCATCAATCCAGATTTCCGTGGCATGACACCAAGAGTCCTAAGTTTTTTTATTAGAGCACTTAGTGCATTCCAAAACGTATCAAGAAGAGAATGTTTGAATCGTTTGAGGGAAAACATGAGGTCTGTTCTTCGTAGTTGTAATATGTAAGTTAGAGAAAAAATATGCTTGTGTGTGTCTCACTCGAACTTGTTACATCTACAAAGAACAGACCAATAATTATAGGCCAATAAGAGGTATTTTTTTTAGCTGATCTGTCTAAACAGGTACAATAAGTTAGTGTGAGATAAATATATTTTGTTTCACTCCAACTTATTACACCAGTTCAGGCAGTTTAGCTAAAAAAACAGACCTAAAATAAATCACTGATATAAATGTGAACGAGCATTTTGCTTCTAAATCTGCACGTTCGATCAGTAACATCTATTTCATATGATATTTTCTGTTATGCCAATGCAGGCCAGGTACGGTGGCTCTTCGAGAAATCAGAAGATACCAGAAGTCGACCGAATTGCTGATCAGAAAGTTGCCGTTCCAACGGCTGGTGCGTGAAATCGCGCAGGATTTCAAGACCGATCTGCGTTTTCAGAGCGCCGCCATAGGCGCTCTGCAAGAAGCGTCCGAGGCGTACCTTGTCGGTCTCTTCGAGGACACCAACTTGTGCGCGATCCACGCCAAGCGCGTCACGATCATGCCCAAGGACATCCAGCTGGCCCGGCGAATCCGCGGCGAGCGTGCTTAAGAGACGCTATCTAACTCTCATACATACCGGTTACGATTATTATTATTATTAATTATTATTATTATTATTATTATTATTATTATTATTAATTATTACTGTTCGCAATTATCGTGGATGAAGCACTTTCATTCCAAACTACATTTTACGTTTTATTCATATATAATTATATACAAGATATGTAACGTGTATCGGTATTTGCCAGATGATACGATACGAATTGATACGGAGAAATTCTCTCGTAGTTTCGGAACGATATCACTAAGCAGAGCGTATACAAGTCATCATTTTTTCGTTTCTTCTCTCACAATTCAAACATTCGGCAGCGTTTCAGAATTGACTTTTTGTTTATGAAATATTGATGGATTAACTGTTCAATGTCATTAGTCATAGAAAAATTAACGACGACGTGCTTAATGGTTATCTCGTACGTTGTTAGGCTGAATGATTAGCGCGGTGTAATTGCAACACACGCAATATGGGATCGCATTAATCATGGGTTGTACGCGTACAAACGCCACGTTTGTATGTACAGAATAACTTCGGTAAGAGTAATCATACGTCGTTAATTTTCCTACATGTATGAAGTGTGCGACTTACGAAAATGATATTTTTGTTTCTCAATTTTTATCCTTATCGTCATTAATATTAAGCATTAACGATTATCATCATTATTAGTATTCGTAAAAAGTGTGCACTAGGATAAGACACTCTTATAGTGATCCGATGTAGTGTGCTTAACGTATTAGACTTTTGATTGTATTCGAATTGCAAAAATCGTCTTGGTTACATAAATATTGTGTAAAAATTTGTGTAAAAATAAACGTTTCGTAAATAAATCTAAATCTGTACAACTTACTTTCTTTTAACATGCTTCACCCAGAAGTTGGCCAACCTTTGGACGTGACTTGATGTGTAATATATGGTGCGGATAGAAGTACGCATCGTTAAATTAATAAGATTTTATTAAATGAGGTTTTGACGTTCTTATAATAATACAACATGATTATAATTTCCATTTATAACAATTCTGTAGTTTACCAATGGTATCTTTTTTGCACATGTAGTTTAAAGAAATAAACTTTCGATCTACATCGGCGCAATCATGTTCTCGCTAGCTCTAATTATACAATGCATATATCATAGTTATTGGAATTACAATCCAATTATAGTTGCGCCAAGTAATATTATGCTGCCTCAATTAGTAAATTTTATTTGTACGAAATATTAAAAAAATAAAAGGATTATGTATGTATAAACATGTTTGTGAAGCGCTAAAAGTACACATTTTTACAAAGTATACACACTAATTATTGAAGACAATAATAAATACAGTTACAAATTACACTAAATCTACGCGTTAAAAATCAGAAGTTCATAAATTATTTATTGTTTGTGTAATTATACCTACAAATGTCATCAAATATCTCGTTTTTTAATAAATAATGATACTCCGTTACCGCATTTTGTTTATGCGTAATATACATGAGAAACGCTCTAGACAATAATACCAAACCGCATATCGCAATAAAAGAAAATTCAAAATCGCAAGCAAGAGATTGTTATTCCATTTCGCAGCATTTGTGTTATTCTTCATGTAATGCGACTCAATACGAGATCGTAATCAATTTCATAAAAACATATATAAACTAAGATTGATATGCGGCTTTTAATGAGTTATCGTCTCTAACTCTTCATTAATACGCTAATATTTACAAAATTCTATCCGAACGCTTTCTAGACAATTGTCGTAGTTTCACGTTTGAGAGGGAAGAAACTACTAAAAAAAGGGCGTAATGTTTAATGCGGAGGAGAGAAATATCTAATTCGCGCACATGTATATATATGTATGTACATATGTATATAAGCATATATATACAAATATATGCGCATATACATATATGTATGTATAGATATATACATAGTATATACATGTACATATGTATATATAACTAATAAGTAATAGTACTCTGTTACTTTTTTTACCTGATTATTCTCAATTATTATTCTCAGTTATTTACACGAAAATTGTCGGTCTTTTTTAACGGTTATATATTGTTATACGTGGCGATGGTATATGTTTATCCGTAGTAATGTGGTGTAATAGGCTTGAAAGAGTGAATGTGATAGAATTCATCCCAAGTTATCTCGGTGTACCAATAATACAGTTTTAGCAGGGACTGGTATAATTCCGCTGAGCTCAAGCTTGGATATTAGAAACGACGTTACTGTTTAATCGCAAATAAACGTCGATGGAAGCGAGACATGTCATCCCCCGACACGAGAGAGAATTCTTTACGTACCTACTGCTGCGTCAGAACTCAACTCATCAAAATTATATCGATTTGAATCCTTGTTTTTAAGTAATTTATAGCGGCGAGCTTACACATGTAGGTTTTAATAAAATATATTCTTTTATTCGCGTATTACAACAGAGATAAAGAGAAACGCAAACGAAGGTAATCAACGCGAGTCGTAATGGAAACGGTGAGTTACAAAAATTATAGCTAAAAGAGAAGTTTTCATGCCTAGCATGAAAAAATGTTAGCGCTTTTCGATTCTGTATAAATTTTGTCGAACTAACTTGGACGAGAAATTACTATTAAACGAATATTCAATTAATGTTACATTAGTGTTACATAACATGATGTGTGCGGACATACGATCGCTGCGACATTATCTCTTCGTTTATAATCGAATGTGGTTGTTGTTTCCTGAGGCTGGGCTTCTGACTTGTCGTCTAGCCCTAATTGAACAGACGCAATAATCTTTCGTTATCGCTTATTTAGTTAGTTAGTTAGTTGAAAAAAATCAGGGATAACAGAAAGACGAATGTGCGTCATTTTTACGTCATTCATTGAATGCACATTGTTCGTCCAACTGGGAACTCCTCCGAATTTATTTCATTATCATTTTATGTGTGCAATTAAGGTAATATGATACTAATGTTGCATACACTTTGTTCAGATTATGCAAGTAAGGACGATGATAACAAAAGTAATGGTGATTTTATGCAAAGAATAGCTGTGAAACAGCAGCGTTTTGAATTTCTTTACAGTATCAATAACATTTTGCGTGACCTTTCTCTTTATAGATTGAGCCACAAATAATTTTTTGCTATAACAGACGTTGGCTTAATATGGCAGTAAATCGAACGTTTTTTTACAATATACTCTATTTTGAAGCTGTCTAAACATCATACGGTATTCTTATTATAAAGTTGGAAGTAGTTCTTCGATGCAATTGCACATTACCGTGATTTACTTAGAATCTATATACGTATTGTGTACACGCATACTTATCGATAATTTAAAGGCATGTAACTTATCATAGTTGTTTTGTCACTATTTAAACTGTGTTTTGTACTCGAGTAAATTTTTACACACACGAAAATTCGAACGTATTATAGCAGTTCCAAAAAGACGTACGTTCAGCAATTGGTGGCTCAACCCATTTTTGCAAAATAAATTCTAATCTTGTATAAAACCTCGATAATGATTATTTTTTATTTAATGACTATTTCTACAATTCGCAATACAAATATTGATTGAAGGAATTTCAAGCAAAACATATATATGAATGTATATTGCATACATTTTGATTGTAACTAGTTTGCGTTTAAATTTGTACAAGTACGGTATATGTTAAAAAATATTCTGCACCAAGAAAACTAAAGGAAGTAATGTTTTCAATGAGGAATGATAGTACCTTTATTGTGGAACGTACTCAAACATAACACAACATGTTCAAAAACTATTTAAAAAAATTAAAAAACTAATTGAAAACACCGTTTAAAAAAATTAAGAAAATAATTGTATCATTGTCGCATTAATTATTTGTACATCTAGTTGAATAAAAATTTAAAAAGCATAAGCAAACAAGCTATACATCTATGAAACGATGAAACAACTAGTCTTAATATCACTGAGCAAATACAAACAAGTACGACATAAACAACTTTTTAATATATAACTTTTATTAAAATAAACTAAAGGGTTTGTTTCTTTCTATGAAGCTAGTCAATTGTTGTGTTGGGAAACGATTTACTTCTACTAAACATTAGAATGTTTGAGAAAGATAAATATGTTACACAATATTATATACATATAAAGTCTTAAATGTGTATAAACTTGAGGTCTTTAGGCTGACAATAGCAAGCATCATTAATGGAAACACAACCAACATGTGTTACATTAGCATTAAGTACAATTAACTCACTGAGTATCATGTATCATTACTATCTTGTAAAATTTTGTTTTAAATTATTTTATAAAAAAGTTTTTGCAATTATATCAATAATGATTGCGAATATTTGCTATAAGACAAACAGAGAAATGCGTCGCAAGATGTACAGATACATGATACTTATTCCTGACAGATATACACACATATATGTATGTATGTATATATGTATGTACATTAAATATATACAGAAATGTCTGACAATAAGTGAGAAAACGCTCATGAGTACATATATATTAAAATTCCTCTACACTTATTAAAGAATATTAGCTCGCGCGCTATTATTCGCCAATCATTTTTAATCAATAACTAAAAAATCTATATAATTATTTGCAAAAAGGTATAAAAGAATTCCTAATCATATGGAAAAATCTATTCCGGAAAAATTGGCTTTCTCATATATTATAGAGACTCATATATTATAGCTTATGATTTGCTAAGCAAAAAATGTAATAGGCAAAAATCTAAATAATGGACAGTTATTGAGCTACAACCAGTCAAACATGAAAGATTGGCTGCGAAACGGTCAATTATCTCAAAAAGTATTAGATAATGCTAATGCCGACGATATTTTTTGAAAACATATAACTTGGAAAGTTTTTGATGGAATAAGGTTTGTTAACGATGTTTTAAAAACGTCTTGACTTCAGCTATACGGATGTGCGATAAAAAAATAGGAATTTCCGCTGAAAATTCATGTTGATCTTGACGGAATTTTTCAAGATCATTCAAAACTCAAATAAATATCACCAGTTAATAGATTTTTTTTTTTTAAACCTTGCTATTTTTGTTTCAAATTATTTTTCCAATAAACCAATTTTTGAGATAATTGGCCGTTTCGTAGTCTAAATTTTTCATGTTTGACTGATTATAACTCAATAACTATCCATTATTTAGACTTTTGCCTATTATATTTTTTGCTTAGCAAGTCATAAGCTATATGAGAAAACCAGCCAATTTTACCAGAATAGATTTTTCCATATGATTAGTGCGGGGTTCTTTGCAAAGAGAACTTTTTGTTTGATCTAATATATAAATGCAAGATGGAATTCGTATTTACTGTCACGTCCCATATTGTATCGCGTACAATCTTCGCCAATCTTCTTTAATTAATAATACAAAATTTTATGCTGCTGTTTGTAATATGGTATAGGAATTCTGTGTTCAGTTTGACCTAATGTATATGTAGATGAGTATTTTTTCCACATATGGTCAGATACCTTGTGTATATGTGTGTGTATACACACACCACACACACACACACGTGCATATATATATATATATATATATATATATATATATATAATGTATATGTATGTATACAGCGTTAAGGGATATAAATATCCGAGTACTCGTACACAGATAGTATTTGTTAAACTAAATAGAAAAAACATCTACTATTTTGTAAACTACCATGGTAATTATTGAAATATTTATGAGAAAATATTGGTTAACCTATGCGCGCGATGCGATGAGATGAGCTCTGTAACCAATCTAAAGAGACATGTCTTGAACTTTCTCTTCTAGCAGTCCCTAGCAACAGCATATATAGATATCCGACCTAAGATCATACGTGCTATGTAGAACCGCGTCACTTGCTGCTCACAACATTACTCCATTTCTTACTATTATACGATTTTTATTATTGCTAAGAAACAGTCAATAAAACCAAGATATGTCTCATCAGATTGTTCTACAGAGTATACAGAGTGTTCTACAGAGATCTTCCTATCGCATTACGTACACAAGCAGACGATTTTTTTTTATTAATATTTTAACAATTACCATGATAGTGGTAGAGAATATTTTTATTCAATTTAACGAATCCTGTACTTGCATACAAGCGCTCGAATACCTTAAACCAAGCAATCTTATACATACATACATACATACATACATATATATATATATTAATACATATATATATATATATATATACACACTCGTGAGTATATACGATGCATGACGAAACACGAATACGGACACGACAGCAAAACTTAGCGCGTTTAAAATATAATTGTTGTGTTACCTGTAGAGATCACGAACCGCTTGATCTTCTCGAAACGCATTTCGACATGTGTTCAGCTTATTTTCCAACGCCTGTGAAGAGAAATAATCATGATTAGAAATATTCTATTTAATACTGTACCTTAGGAAAAAGGAACCAACGTACTTCAGTCTTTACAGATACTGAAATTTTAGAATTTGTAAGCATTGAGAATATAAAATACGAGTTCTATAACTGGAAAATGAGGCAGTACGTATTGGTCTTTTTTCTTTCAAGGTACAGAATTATATATTATACGATACTTTGCGCGAAATGGCATAACGAATATTAAATTTGTTAGAACATTGACGGTTGATGTTTTAATAGCAAAGCACAGGATGGTATCCAATCTTTGGTGATGAATACAAAGGCAAAGAAACCAAAACTTCTGTATTCAATGAATGTGCAAATCGCTAGAAGCGGATGTGCTGCGAAAACGAAAAGAACCAAATAAAGACCTGCTTCTTAGGGAGGTGCAAAATAATTTAACGATGAGAGGTCACGACGAAGATCTGCATGTGGTCGGTCTAGGTTGTTGCCTTATGCACTGAACAGATGCGTGTGTCTGGGTTGATAAGTCGCTAGACGACGTGGTATTCGATATTTGTCCGCTCGGACAAGCGCATTTTATTCTTCTACAGCCTACGCAGACCCATCTGTCAAGCTACCAAAACACCAACCGCATCATACCAACTATCAATGTCACAATACAAGTTGCTTATAATGTAATTATAAGTATTCACAACGTTCTTATCGTATATTGTGACAAGCATAATTACATCTTACTAACTTGATTAATAACATGATGTTTGGCTGTAGATATTGTCAGAGAAAGTGTCAGATCAAGAAACTACTTTAATCAACGAATTTATATCGACATATATAGTGACTCGGTATTATCGAACTTGTATAACAGCAACTATATACTTTATGTCATGTATAAAAACAGGGGGGAACACGCAAGCCATGCTTCAAGCTTAGAAAACTACGAGTGTACGATAGACAAGGATGATACTGTTGTTATGCTTACCCCTACTTTTCGCATAAGGTCACCGATCATATTCATTGCCAGTATTCTAGTGCAGGGTGGCAATGGTTGGCTCATATTATTATTGTTGTTGTTTCCAATTACTCCCCCTACCATCCCGTGTCCAACTAGGGTGAAACAAGAATCAATGTAATACACATCGATATTACCCGCGAGCAGATGAAACTATTCAATAAATTGTAAAGCCAATAATAATATCGTTTGACTCGGTTTTAATATTGTTTGAAAAATTATTTAAAAAATTGAAATAAAAAAAAATTACTACCAAAAATTTATTCAGTTACATTTTAGTATTGCACACTTGCTTCCTTTTCACGTTGATATATCCTTAAATAACTCAATTCTCAAAAATAAGTGGTTCATGGTAATTTCGAAATTATTTTAAAAAATTTTCACATCTTGTCTGCATTCATTCTCATACTCTTTAAATTTGGTGGCTGTTTTTCGAATAAAAATGATAAAAAATACATTTCGCTCTAAGAAAAATATTGTTTATCCTACTTTTTAATGGCGAAGTCGTTGTATTATTCGGAGGTATGGTTTGCGGGGCTATTTGGCTAGCAGGTGAATTCGATTCCAATTCGGTTTGCAGCTTATTGTTATCGACAATGCTGCGAACTCTCTCGGACTTATTATTGTCTGCATGATGCCTCTCGTGTACCTGTATCTCCTGCTTTAGGTCTGAAACATCGCGAGATACTAACTACCGTCGTAAAATAATTCATTAAATCAAAGTTTTTTACCAACCTCTAACTTCGTCCATTAATCTTTGCACTATAACTTTCAAGCTTTCCTTTTCGTCGAGTTCTGACTCAAGCAAAGCATTTTTTTCTATAGCTAAATTAAACTTAGCTTCTATTTCTTCTTCAGTGACCCTATTTATCCTGTAAAAAGTGTATATATTATACACACATATTTACATAAATATGTACATGCATATACATGCACACATATATATACACATATACACACACTTGTATTGTTGGTAAAAATACAAATTTTATGATAACAAAAATTATATCTTTAATCTAGACCATAAATTCTAGGTAACTTTTTTTCACTGATCACACAAACATAATAATTAAAATCAAAGATAACTCTAATTTCTATTTTCATTAATTTTTATAATATAGGAAACAACAATAAAAAGATTTCTTGAAAATTATTTCTTTAAAAGTTATTTTTCTACTTTAAGCTGGTGTGTATATAATAGCTTTGTAACAATTTGTAAATAAAATATTTATTTTAATATCTTGTTGGGAACAGAGATTTCAAATTTTATTCTTACGTTGTAACTATCCTTATTTTAACAACATGTCTAAGTAACATTTAAAATAAACTGTAATTTTTCTGATAATGTATGATATATAAAAATTAAAGAAATTGTACTAAAAAAATATATATTCTATAGTTTTATTTTCATATTTCATATTATTAACTTACAAAAATTGAAACATTGACAATTATATTTTTTCAACAACAGCTAGATAACTTTTTAATTGTTATTTTCTATCTCAACACAAACATAAATAGAAAAAAGAATTAATTTCAAGAAAGAAGAAAGAATTAATTTCTCAAGAGAGATATAAATTATAATGCAATATCTGTTGACCAATGTAATTACTAGTTTAAGATTCAGATATATTAAATATGTTAAATATATTAAATACCTGTGTGCTCTTTCCAAATCGTCATTTTTTTGTTCAAGTTCTCTAATGTATTTCAGTAAACGTTCATGCTGCAGCTGTAAATCTTGTGCCTTGCCTTGAAACATAGCGCAATCTGTAGACTGCTGATCTAATCGTGTCCTCAACTGTTCAATCTCTGTGGCTAGTCTTGTATTTCTCTGTCTCAGTTCTCTATTTGTCTTCTCTGCTTGTTCCAAGGATGTCTCCAATTCTTCCTCCAACATCTGCGAATTCTCTTGGAACTCTTCTAGCTCACGTTCAACATTGTTTTTCCTACAATAACAATAACGCAAGTGATATTTTGTTACTTATTTGATTATAAGTCCAAGAATGTAAATAAAGGAAACTATGTTGTCTTTTATTTTCTCAAATATCTTGTTTTCAGATGTTTTGACTTCAATAAATAGTCATTGGGTTTTATGTCAACAGCTGCGTTTAGCGTAGTTGCTTTGCAACTGTTGTAAACTCATAAATCTGTTTATTTTAATCTTTGCGGAATCTCAAAGTATGTAATCAGATTGACAAATTTTACAACAGATGCAAAGCAGCTTTCTCTACTGAATACAACTAATAAAGCTTGATGTGTAACTAACCTCTGATGAAATTGGTGAGCCAAATCCATCCAATATTGAATCTCGTCATCCTTTGAGAGAAATTCCGGCGGATCTACATCCATCATTGCACTTGGAGATTGTTACGAGAATATATGTAATTTTACTACCCCTTGATTTTGCTTCTAATATGAGTTACGAATACATATAATTGCTGTCCCACGTGTTATACACTGAAATGCTGCAAAAGACAAACATGACAAAACCTTTCGCAACGAGGAAAACACGAATCGGGATAAACATAAAGAAGGCTAAACGTTTCGTCGTCGTATCGTACGTGCTGAGGTATTTCCGATACTATGACGTATCTCGTAGCGTAGAGCGTTACTTCCGAGTACGTGAATAAAAACACGTCTTATTACATATCTTATTCGTGATTAAAGCGTCACGTACGGAAAGAGGAAAGAGGAGAAACGCGACTTTGTCCCCGCAGGTGTAAAACGTCATGAACGTGTTTTCGACGTCCTCGACGATGCCGACCTTGAAGCAAGCGTTGCCTTGCGGGACAAACGTAGTCACGCATGTAACACAAATGTCATTACCGTGTTATTATGAGTCACACTGGTTAGCGAGGCGACGAGGAGGCGTGTAGCGAGTACGTAAAAATATCGGTGTAGCGGCGGCAAGAAGACAGGTGTAGGTGCAGGTAAGTTTGCGCTGTCTGCGGAGTCTGTGTCGGAAACGCGCACACGAATGCACTCCTCGCAGATCTCGCGATTTTGTCGCACACGTCGATCGCGATGTGAGGATCACACCCGATCGCGACCACCGTTATTCCGCACTCGTTCGCGGATTCTGAAGAACCCGAGGATCATGCAAAATGGTGGCGAGGAGGCAGGCAGAAAAGTTCAAAAGAGGGAGCGAGAGTATATAGCGACATACCACGTCGTAATCTAAGAGAAACGATCAGACGGCGTTGAGAATGGACGAGACGTACGCGCGTATGACATCCGCGCACGATTGTCTCAAAACCACTTTTACCGAGTTCCGATTAAACTAACCGTTTTAGTAACCTTGCAGGATTCCAACTGAAGCTACTATTAGAGAAAAAATAAAAGTGAGAAGCTAAAAATATGGATTGGTAACGCTGACTTTTGTATATATATAGGGTGCGTTCGCTTTGAACGCTTACGCGCTTTAAGCGCTTATAAATATCGCTCACGTCGTTGGAAGCGGTGCACTTGGACACGGTGCATTTGGGCACAGCTAATCACAGCACCGTGTGATTAGAGACATTTGTAGAGTCCCTTGGAACAGCGACTTGTGATTGGACTGTGTCCAATTGCCCCGTGTCCAACTGATATACACCCCACGTCGTTTACTTTGGCGCTATAAGCGCTTAGAAACTGCATATTGACGTCATGCGTGACGTCATAACTCGCGCTTACATTCACTTCTTCTATCGAGGTAGGGCAGTAAAAGCGTGAGCACTTATAGGCGCTTATTTTCCAAAGAGAACGATAAGTTAGATTGCGTCGATGAAATCGACTCAATCTAATCTCCAATATAAACCTTAAAATGAAATAGTGTTTCAAAATGACTTCCAACGAGAGTAACAAAACCAGAGTAACTCTGCAAGATGTTACAAATAATAAAATGTATACACTTGTTGTTATATCAAATGAGGCAAAACGTATAGAAACAGGTAAGTTTAGAACACCTTTCATAAAAATTTATTATTTTTGTTATTAAATCATATTTATTTTGAGTAATAAAGTACTGTCCAATAGTAATTTAAAAAAGAAATAAGTAATATTTCAGCAACATTAGTAATACATTTAATGAAGGAAACGGACTTTCTCACAAATTTACCTAAACTTCATATTTTGTTGTATAAAACATGAATATTATATGAAAGTTAAAATCGTTGATCTTAAATAAAATAAAAGTTATAAAGTGAAAAGTTATTAAAATGTGACTTAAATACTTCATCATTGTATAATGGTACAATCACTTCCACATAGTTTTTTAACCAAGGTATTGTTTTTTTTTTTATTGATTCAATCATTACGGATAAATACTTTTCTAATTCTTCTTTATATAAGTTATTTGTTTCGTTATCATCAAAAACATCTAATGAAACTAATATTTGAGCAAACAATACACAATTTTCTTATCTTTATCCTCCATTTTTACGTTCACAATTGCTTACAACAGCCAAAGGAAACGGTTTTGATCTTTTCGATGAGTGCGCTTAGAAATCAAAGTAACCGGACAAAAATAGCGCTCATAAGCGTGTGCGCTTTAAGTATGTGAGCGTCCAAAACGAACGCACCCATAATACTACTATGATTACGTTCCGTTTTAGGGTGCGATTACATGAGCGTACGGAAACACGGAAATAAGTAAATGCGGAAAAGTAACTAGTTACTAAATGGGATCCGTGCGATTTCGTTCTACTTTTCCGCGGATTTTAGGCGGAAACACGGAAGAAGCAAAAAGCATAAGATAGTGATACCATACTGTCACCCGAAGCCAACTATTGCAAAGTCACCTACAATCTTATTCGAGCACTTATTGGATTATGAACTACTCTCTGTTTTTCGATGTGAGGTCCAACGATTGTCAGTAATTCATCGAACATTGTTGGTGACATCCGCAGATAGTTAAAATATTTTTCGTTGTCAAACAATAGCATTTCAACGATTAAATTATCACTGGCTCCTTGTAACAATCTTCGTTGTTCAGAAAATATGGGTCTTATCCACATTCTGCGATTTCGTCTGTCTTCTAATTTTTTGTAACAATTGTAGATATAAAATAATTTTGTAACTTTTTTCATCGTTATTTCCGTATACCTTTTTGGTTGCTTTCGTGCTTGTATTACCAGTGATCATAGCCATTAACATATAATTTAAAATCATATTTGCAGCAAGCAAAAACGTGGCAATCAAACGTAATAAGCCAAACTTTACAGCTTTTAAATCTTCTTTCACAGATTTGTGTATGCGCTCACACAAGGAGTATATATAACGGAGTAAACGCGTTCCGTTGATTTGGTTGTTCTAAATATTACATGGAGCACAATTTGTGCGGAAATGCGGAACGGTACAGTGATAAATAAATATTTGTATACATTTTAAAAAATTATATTTACTTCATTCACTGCAATTTTTATTAATGCGCTTCTTTTTCAACTTATTCGTTTAATAAAAAACATTTTAATCAATAAATATCGTATACAATTAATGTTTTATAATTCCTTGTTTTGCTTTTTTGTATAAAATATGCTCCATGTAATATTTAGGAGAAATAAAGCTACGGAACAAAAGCGCGGAAATGCGTAAATTTAGTTAAGTCCTAGTAATTTTGTCTTCCGTATTTCGCATTTCCGTATTTTCATACGCTTATGTAATCGCACCCTTACACATTATGCGCGTATTCCCTACAGTATATGTAACGTGAACTGTAGATAAATGCGCGCATATACGTGAAACGGAACGCGGCCTATATTGTTAAAGGAGAGAGAAGTCCGGCCCTAGAACCACGGTGCGGGAATATATGGGTGTTATGCTTCCGCAGACTGCGCGACAGCCAATCAATATGTTGTTTTTCCATAAGAGCTAGAAGGTTATTACGGAAAGCAGCATATTGATTGGCTGTCGCGCGAACTTCCGCCGCGCGGCAAGCATTACCGCGTCGTGTGTGCAAGAGCCATTACGTGTAGCAATCGGATTTTCAATTGAATTAATCGCAGTGATGTAAATTGTCTAGAGAGAAAGTTCCTAGGCTAATCGGATTACCAAATCGTGTCCGTGAAGGACGGATCGGATTAGCGGATGCAGAGGAACATTGCGTACATACTTCCACAATCATAGAAGCTGTAATAAAAGAACTAATAGAACCAGGCCTGAAAACCATTGAAAGAGAGAGAGAGAGAGAGAGAGAGAGAGAGAGAGAGAGAGAGTGTACATACTTACGTCTTTTAAAAAATAAATATTAAGAAATAAATAGAAAAGTATGTGCATTGTTATTTTCATTATAATTAACGTATATTCTTCTGCAGATGTATATAGTGTCGCGTCTGACCGACCAGGCTGTCAGCCAGTAATAATTTTTTGTCCAAACAATCCTTTGCCTGAGACACCCCGGGTGTATATCAGTTGGACACAGGGCAATTGGACACAGTCCAATCACAAGTCGCTGTTCCAAGGGACCCTACAAATGTCTCTAATCATACGGTGCTGTGATTGGCTGTGTCCAAATGCACCGTGTCCAAGTGCACCGCTCCCAGACACCCCAGGTACGAAACCTTCCTTTCCCAAAAGGAAGGCATCTCAGATGGCATCACTATCATCAGGCCCCCTCTCCTAAAAGCGGGATCATAAGAGCTCAGTAGCAGTAGAGTAGTGACCGGTGAGGCAGTCAGTCAGAGTCGGGTGCCGGGATCGGAAGTTCAGAAGTAGTCCTCACCTACAAATCCCATCTCTCTAAATCACTAACTCTAAACCGTAGTTTCCTCTAGCTCTTAAGCAATTAACTTTATAGCGTGTTCAACTGGCCTTGGGTTAATCCTAGAGCGATTAATGACGTCATAAGTCTCTACTAGCTAATGATAGCTTATAAGTACTTATTCGACCAATAAATGTAGGCTGAATAACCCAGAGTGGGTTATCCAAAGCCAGTTGAATATGATATTAGATTATCCTTAATATTTCTGAACATTTAAGAGCGTTTTATTCTAATGCATAATTCTTTAGTTTGTTAAACAGTTTATTTTAGTTATTTCGTTACTTCCGTTATTCTAGCCACACTTTTGTGAGTAGATACTTTTGTGAGTAGATTATATATCAAGAATTACACAATATATATATATATATATATATATATATATATATATATATATATATATATATATATATAT